TATGATTTGGGGCTATTTCCATATCTCCATAGAACTTTCTGTACACAGAAGGATTGAGTTAAAGGAAGGGTAAAAGGTTTTTTTTTTTTATTGTATCCAAAGAGGTGTAATGTTATTGCATCACTTTTTTGTAGATTTGAATCCATCCTTACAGTTTTTAGTGAACCTAAAGCATCCCTGGGATGGTACTTTTATCCATTCTCTTTGAAATGTAATATGGTATAGTGTACAGAGTTCTGGACATGGAACAAGGAGACCTAGGTTTAAGTCATGGTCCTGCTATTCAGTCACTGACCTTGAACAAATTACTTTACTTCTCTGGTTGTTAGTTTTCTAATCTGTAAAAAGAAGGGATGAATGAAATGATCTATCCCATCTATTTCTAAGCTTCAAGCATTCTCTTACTCCCCTTTCTTTTCTTCTCTCCCTTTAGGTAGATACTGAAGCAAGGGAGAAGTGGAGCTAAGTCTTCAGTATTTGTAAGGACAGTTAACTATTCCAATTCTGCTACCTCTACCACTGCTGCCCTTCCTCTTTTTAGTTCCTTCCTCTCTCTCTCTCTCTCTCTCTCTCTCTCTCTCTCTCTCTCTCTCTCTCCCTCTCCCCCCCTTCTCTTTCCTTGCACAGCTAGTATATGTGCATAGAAAAAATCCTACCATTTCCAACATATCAGATTCCTCCACTTTCAACATCTCACCAGATTTCTCCATTCATTCGGCTATAATCCTAGGTAAGGGGGGAAATATGAGGAAATTTAAAGAAAGCTCTTTTCTACTCTATGCTTACAGAATACACACGCCTTGGCATAAAGAATATATCAGGCCCAGTGCCACTAGTTGAAAATAACAGTGAATCTTAGAGGCCTGAGAGCATTTTCATTTTTCCTTTCAATTCTGTATTCATCTTTCTATATTTTTCCAATTTTATTAATGACTTTGAGGTATATTTTCAATGTCAGATTATCACTAAAAGACATTATGTTGAAATTTAGTTCTGAGCCTTTGATAAAGGAGAAAAGTTAGTAATATTATCAACAAAGAAAATGAAGATTATTTATGACAGCATGAAAAATGCAGATGATGAAACAAGATAGAATTATGGGTATAGTTGGAGAAAGGTAAAAAGATGAAATTTGTACTTGACATGAAAAAAGAGTGGGAGGGTAGGAAGGGAGAGAGGGAAAAAAGAGGAGGATAGAAAAAAGAAAGGAAATAAAGGATGAAGTGGAAATGAAAGAAATTTAAGTCAGAAAGAAACAAAACATTGCAAATGGGAGAAATATCAACAGAAGCTTTATGATTATTAAGTGTTTTTTTTTTATAAATTACCTCATTTAATACTCATATAATAACAATCTTAGGATATGGGTAGAATAATAAGGATTACCCTCATTTTATAGATGAGGAAACTGAGGCTTATAGTTACCACAGTTAATAATCATCAGATCTGGAACTTGAATGATCTGACTGCAAATCCAGTGTTTCTTCCACTATACCACACTGCTGAACAGGAAAGAAAACCTGAGGAGTTAAAGTGAAAAAAATAGCCACTACATTTAGTATTCTGCACTACAGCAATGAGCATGAAAACAGAGTTTTTAAAAAATGTTGTCAAGTGAAAATAAGAGAATATTTGGCAAAACCTGGGTAGGAGAAAAAAGAGGGGAAGGAGTCAGATTTCAGACATTGTAGACAGAAGAGCTGGTGGAATTACTAACATCGATAGGAAACAGAGAGAACACAGTCTGAAAGATGAGTAGCTTTCTTTCTGTTGCTTGATGTGGCAATGAGGCACTCAAAAGAGTACAAATGGTTAAAAGAGAGGGAAATTTTTATTTATTTATTTATTTATTTATTTATTTTTTGAGAGGGAAATTTTTAATTCAAACATAGTAGCAACGGATAGAACATGTCTTAAGATCTCTGAACTACAGAACGTGGTCAATATAAGAAAGTAATCAGAGACTAAGCTCTGGGGGCCTTCCATCAAAACCAGAAACATGAAGAGTAAGTGAAGAAAGAATATATAAGAAAGGACAACTAAAGATTTTAAAAATAATATACGCTTAGTGATTTCTAAAAGTTTCCACTAAAGAATTTATTTATAGGTACTAAGATCTTAGAATGGCTAGTAGACAAAGACCTTGTATAAGTTAGAGAAAGGAAAAATACAAATGCATAATTTGTAAACTTTGGGAAAGCAGTAGCATTGGATAGCCTCCACCTAGTACACTAGGCAAATTTCCATGATTCTAGGCTTCCTCCTCCCCTCCCTTGTTCCCTACTTAAAAGTGCAAAAGTATAGATTATTCCATGGACCAGCAAGCAGAAGTCTGGGAGTCCCATGGGTGAGTCTAACCACAAACAATGATTCTTTATGATCTGTATATACATTATTTAATGTAATTGGTGTTAATAAATTTTAAATAATTAGTGCAACCCCTACCTGAAGCATGAAGATAGTAGTCTTGAATCATAAAAGTGGAAAAGAATTGAAAAGGTCATCTATTCTACTTTCCTCCTTATTCAGGGCTCCTTAAACCCTCCTAGAGAAAAATGACTTTTGGTTACCTTTCAACTTCTAGTGATCAGTTCAGCAACAGCTTTTGAAGATTCCAGGTGAGTGCACTATAATGATTAACAAATAGCACATCCAGACCATGGGTTTAAGTATGCACAATCCAAATAGATTTACAGATAGAACTCTTGGGACGAGAACTATCTCAAAATAACTGACAAAGAGTAGATGATACATTTCCTTTTCCTTTCAGTTCATCTTAGACATAAACATGAGCGTTACAAGGTTTCACGTAATTGACACCCAGAAACTTCATTACCATTGTAATCTTTTTAAAGAGCTTTCTTTTGAAAAGCATCGATATCAAGGACATTTACACCTTTTGCTACAACACAAAAAAATTATCACAGTAACAACACAGAAGAGGTTTATAAGTATCCTCTCCCTTGATTTTAGTTCCCAGATGATATCCCTTCAATTAAGGAAAAACTCTCACTCTATCCACCTCAGAACAAAAGCTTGAACCCAAGTAGATTGGCCAAATCTGATTCCCAAGAAGGGCGCTGCCTTCCAAGATCGAAAGCTACATATAGTGTAGTCAGCCACGAAGAGGATAGTATAAAATACAGGGACAATCTCACGTACAAGTAGAACAGATGGTTGGTTTCCTGTAAACTATGAATGATATGCCTCAAAACATAAACCTCATCTGATCTGACTACCTTTAGACTACCATCTAACAATGAGTTAGATAAGCAAGGTGGAGGCATTGTCTCTAGAAAGTCCCAGTTAATATGCACCAATGGTTACATGACACATGAACCACTATCCTTCAGTAGGAAGAGTAGATGATTTGGAGTCAGAAGAATTGGGTTAGAATTCTGTTTTCACCATTTACTATCTATGCCACTTTATCTCTGAGTCTGGATTTCCTCAGCTGTGAAATGACAAGGAGGGGAACTGGACTAGATGATCTTTAAAGTCCTTTCCAACTCTAAATTTATGATTCTGTGACTGACTCCCACGTTACCATGAATAATTTTGTCCTTCTATCAAGTTAACACCTGTTCCCTGAGAGGATAACATATAGGACTGGTAAGTTTGGGTGTGGGATAGGAGAGGGATAGGGACACTGACAAGTCCTAGATGGCCTGTGAACAACTAAGGAGGCCAAGACTCAATATGAAATATAGGGCCTAATGGAAAATTCTAACCCTGTGTGTCTTGGGAGAAGGAGAACCAGAAAACAACTTATCCAGGATTTTGCTAACTGCCAGTTCTGATAGCATGGTAGAACATGTTTCCTCCCCCTGCAGCTACAGGGCCAGGTTTAGATGCAAAGGCTCTTGAGCCATCCATTACCTTCTCTGGGGTCAAAGACTGACATTCAGCAAAGAGTTTTTATGAACTGGAAGGTGAGGATGACTTCTTGGAAAGAAGACACCATATATATCACAGAGGCTGTGTACTAAAGGGCACATAATGACTTTTAAAATCACACAGGTAGAAACAGAACAATACCAAACAGAATTAAAATGATTTCATTTCTAAAGTGCTTTAAAGGTCTACCAAGTTCCTTCCTTGGAACCACCTCCTGAGGTATAGATTATTTTTTTTTTCATTTTACAGATGAGGAAACTGAGGCACAGAATAAGGCAATTCATCCAAAATCACAGGCTATTAATTTGAGGAAAGGAGACTTGAACTCGGGTCTTGTGAAACCCAAGACCAGTATTTTTTCCACTACAGACAACCCATGCCCAAATTCAGTAGTTTCATGAGACAAGGTCGCCACAGAAGAAAAATGAAGTGTGAGAAGAAAGAGGGAGGTGGAGAAGACACAGTTCCCATACTAAAAAGGTCTTGGTGGGGGGGCGCAAAGACTAACCCCGTGATCATGATTGGAAGCAAGTGCACTCGTGTGAGTCTGGGGGAGGGGTGGGGGGACAGACAGGCAGGCAGGCAGGCTCTTGGTAGGTGATTAACCTAATGCCGTGGGAGTGGGTGCACAAACGTCTGGGGGTGTTGGGAGGGTGGACATGCTATTTCTCCACTTGCCCGCGAAGAGCTGGGCAGGAGACAGCCGTCCACGGAGCGCTCGCAGGCAGTGGTCACCAGCTCGGACCAGGAGCGTGTCCTCGGCGCGGTGTTCCTGGGGCTGTGACTGCGAGGGGCCGTGCACGGTGGCCAGGCTGCCGCCCGCTCGACGGGCACGTTACTGCCCTCACACACCCCCAGTGCGGGGCTCGAGCGCGGACCCGCGGTCACCCGGCAGGGCAGGGCTGGCCGGGTCCTTGGGGTCAGCGAGGGAGGGGCTGGAGCGCCGGCCCCTGCCCGCCTGGGGGTGTGCGCACGCGCGTGTAAGAGACCCCTCCAGGGGTGGCGAGAGCGGGGGAGGGGGGCTGCTCCTCTGCCGCCGCCACCTCCCCTTGGGCCCCCAGGCTGGCCTGGGTCGGGGCCCCGGCGCTTCCTCGCGAACTCACCATGTCTGGCCGCGTCTCTGGAGCTCGGGGCCCGGAGGAGCGAAGGGATGCGCTGTCCAGGGTATCCAGCCTCCCTCTGTCCTGCGCGCGGCAGGCGCGCCCTCTATAAGGTTTTCCACACGCGCGCACACACGCCCCAGAGCACGCCCAGGCACACAGACTCACACCCACGCCGCTCGGCTCGGCCTGGCCTCCGCCTCCCTTTCGCGCCTGCCTCCCTCCTCTCCCGCCTCTCTCGCTCCCTCCCTCCCTCTCTCGCCCTCGCGGCCCCGAGGCTCCCAAGGCTTCCCCTCACGCTCGCACTCCGCTCCTGCCGCGCCCTCTAGGGAAGGGAAGCCGGCACTGCAGGCACCGGGAGGAGGAGGAGGGAGCGAGGCTAGGGAGGGCGGGGCAAGAGGAGGGGGCGGGGCCGAGGAAGAGGCGACGCCTGCCCGCCCTCCCGCCAGCCCTTTACTCTCTGACCAACAGTTTCAGTTACACCTTACCTTACCCCTTTTGCGGCGGCCGTCGCCTTCCTCGCCACTGGAGGTCTCCGGTGCCCCGCCACCGCCCCCTCCTGGACGGGCGGAGATTCGCAGCGAAGGCTGCTCCACCACGAGTCCGCGGCTCGAAGGACTCTGAACCTACTCCAAAGAGAAAAGACAGCGGTCGGCTGGGGATCGTGGAGGGGGAGCAAGAGAAAATAGGTCTGTGTCGAAGATGAAGCGATTGCTTCTCTTGCTTTTCCCCCCTCTTCTTCAAAAGCAAAGTGGTCGGGAAAGGGTCCCTCTTCCATCAGATTATTCTGGTTTGGGTGTTTTCGTTTTGCTGATTTGCTGGGGGTGGGAGTGGGCTTTCTGTGCCTAGTGGAGCACAAAAGTAACAGTACGAGATGCACTCAAAAGCACGACATTTGTTCTGCATCCTAAATCCAGCCAAAAACTAACCTGACGCCTATTTAATCTCAAACCCAGTGCCGGACACTTGAATTGACAAAGCATACCTCCCTACCCTAGAGGTTACTCATGGCTTAACTATGGTGATATCTGAAAGAATCTCAGATTCTGAGTTTTATGTTTCATATCTGGTGAAAATGTGAGTTTTAGGGAACACATGTTTGGAGGAGTTGGAAACATATCTCTTTTTTTTTCCTTTTCCTTTATTTTTTCCCCTTTAAAGCCTAAAAACTCAGTCTTATTGTACTTATTGTACAGGCATTTGAGTAATTTGGTTCACGAAGGCTTATGAGGACCACCATACCTAACCATCTAGGCATACAATAAAACTGCATGCCTAGCATTCTTGCAACTGGGTCAGCTGAAGTTATAATCTCAGAGTTGCTTGTAACAAAGCATCGTTTGAGTCTTTGGAGCCTACTGACAAGAATGATATCCTGTGGTTTCTGAGCTGTAATAAATTGTCATATGATCACCTTCTTTGCAGTCACACTTTATCTTTTTCTTAGTGAGTACCCAGCAGCAGGTATATATTTGTTAAAAGAGGTGAATGTCTTTATGACCATCAATAGATTATTTTAGATATATTAGCTCAATGTCACAGAATCTCAAACGCTAGGATTCAACCCAAAGGATTCAGCAACCAATTTTCTATATAGCATTAATATATTTTCTAAGAACAAAAATTCTCCCAGTTTTTGTGGATATCCAGGTTATAAAGAATCTGGGTGTTAATGTCCTGGTGCCTTTAGTCTGGCATGACATAATGCAAATACTTTTGTCAATTGCATTCTCAAGGACAATTTCATTCTCCTCCTCTACAGCTGTGAAAAATAACCAGCCTGCAAACAGTCAGGTTAAAAGATGAGTTGATGTGTCACATCATGAAAACTTAATGCATGGAATGAACTTATATTTTTAATTCAGCTCTGTGCTCTTCTTATTAACAGAACTACCATACCACCATCTTCTACTCTATTCACCATTGTATTCTCATTATACACACCCAATTGTAGAGCCAGACTTCAACTATAAGTTACCTACATTTTATCTAATCATTGAAACACTTTGTGGACATAGCATTATTACAAAAAAAAGTAATTAATTCCGTGAACTAGGGTTTTAATTATCCATCATTCATTTAGTAGATAAACAAGGAAATGAATATATAGGAACAAGCTTCTTAAACACACAGAAACTGGAGCCCTATAGAAGATTAAGATAAGGTAGAATACAAACTTTTAAATATTTAGTAATAGTAATAAGTAAAGATCACAATTAATATAAAGTTTTATCAAATGATTCAACAGTCACATGTGTGACTATGCAAAGTAAAGTTGTCCTTCAGTTGTATTCAACTCTTTGTGACCTAAGAGATCATAGTGCTCCAATACTGTCCAAGGGTTTGTCTTGGCAAAGATACTAGAGTGGTTTGCCAATTCCTTCTTCAGTGGATTAAGGCAAGCAGAGGGTAAGTGACCTGTCCAGGGTCTCACAGGTAGTAAGTAGGCCAATCTGAACTCAGGTCTTCCTGACTCTAAGTCCAGTGCTCTATCTACTAAACCACCTAGCTTCCTCAAAGTAAAATTATCACTAGCCTAACCCTAGAATTTTAGAACAAAAAGTAAAGGTCATCTAGTTTAATTACTTCATTTTACTGATTAAGGAGACTGAGGCCATGAAAATAGGGACTGGGGCACTGGCTTCCTGTCTCTTACTCTCTTTCCACTGCAACATGATTCCTCTCTAATTCTTGTAATCTAGATAAAGTGGATCCAATGCAAAATTGTGAAATGGTTGGTCTGTCTTCAACATAGTCAGATTTTCCTTTCTTTTATTTTTCTTCCTTCTATGGCATTCCCTTGCTCCTTTAGGCATAGAAAATTTTGTGCCATCAGGTCTGGCCATCCCTCCCACCCACCTCCAAGTTCCCATGAAAACAATATCAAGATGAATAGTAAAACAAACTCACATGACCTGAGGCAGAAGGGACCAAGAGGCCAAGTAGCCCAATCCACCCTCTAAAATAACATGGAAAAACAAATTGATAAACTGTATAAATGTCAGATATAAATTAGATAGCATTTGTGCCTGATTACAAACATCAGTGTTAGTGGGTTTCATGTTGAAGAAGGTATTAAAATATTTGGGTGTCCAGAAAAAGAAAATAATTAGTCATTTATTACACCACTTTTATCTTGGTGGGTAAAGCTATGTGTAAGAGGTAAGATTTAAGGGCTTGAATCTCCCAAGAAGATTAACAAATCATGTTCACATCTGTTGCTTTGGCTACTATCAGTATTGGATACTGTTAATCAATTTCAACAACACACTTGACATGCCTATTAACCCTCTCATTGCACTTGAGGTCATGTCCATATGTTCCTATATGGGAACTGGGCCATCTTACTAATTTTTTCTGCACAGCGGATCAGTTTGATTGTATAGTTAATTCTGGGTTTAGACAGCTGAAAGCACTAGAGATCCCATTTTTTACATTCAAGTTTTAATCATTTCTGTAACATGACCTTCACAACTTACTTTCCTCCACTACTTGCCTTTCATGTAATTGTTGTGTACTGTAGTTTTCATATATAAAAGTGTGTGTGGGATTATGATTTGATTCTGACTCCTAACTCCAGCTAACTAGTTGATATAATCACCGAAAGTAAGGGACAGATAACAGACTTAACCAGGCATTAATATGCTAATGAAGTGAAAAGGCCTGTCCTATTCCATGTTATCTCCTCTACTTAGTGGAAAGGAGGTCTCAGATTGAATTGGAAGGCTAGCTGTTCATTTGCTGGAAATAGTTTGCCCACAGTCCTGGAGGCCTTTAAAATGCTAATCTTTGTGAGAAACATAGGAGATGTAAAAAAAGAAAGATGTTAATAACTTTTTTTTTTTGGCTAAGCAATGGGGTTAAGTGACTTGCCCAGGGTCACACAGCTACTAAGTGTTACTATGTGTCTGAGGCCTGATTTGAACTCAGGTCCTCCTGAATCCAGGTCTAGTACTCTATCCACTGCACCACCTAGCTGCCCCCAATAACATTTTTTTTAAGCTAAATCTGCCAAGCCCTGCAGACAGCAAAGTAGTTAGAGCATTATAGGGATTAGCTTTGTAGAAGTCATCCCTATTTGTCTACTAGATAGCAGCAGGTGTGAGAGGAAATTTTCTCTCCATCCCATCATCAGCTGTGATATCTAGCAGATGTATTACTCTACCATTAGGAGAGACCAGATCCAATAGGGAGCAATTTGGAAAGTTGAGTAGTTTAAGATAGAGATCAAGAGACACACTCTCCAGAAGTAAATACGTATGTATAGAGACAAGCAGCCTTCAAAGTAGGAGCAGCTTCAAATGAGTGAGACCTCAGGCAAAAGAGAAGAAAGTCAACTATGGATTCCAGAGATAATGAGCCCTGGCTATTTAGAGTTGAACTTCAGAGAGGAGTAGACCAGGGAGTCCAGGTGAGCAATCTGCCCGGCAGAGACAATGAGCCCAAGAGGGAGCAGCATGAGAACATGATGGGAAGGAAGAGAACATTAGGCCTTGCAGTATTGGAGATCACACATGTGGCCTTAGCCACGTGTGTTCCCTATGACTGTGCTGAGTTCACTATCAGTGTACTCTAAGTTTGTACCCATTTTTACCATGGATGATGTGTGAATTTATGAGAATATATCCAAGATTCATGAGGAGGAATTGTTTTGTAGCTACTGTCATTAACAATGCCATCTTAGTAAATGTCTTTGCTTTGAGTTAATTGTGTCTTCTGGCTGACTATTAAAGGTTAGCACCTCACTGCGTGCTTATGAGCTGGAGTTTTGTAGTTTCAGAATTCATTCCCATAGTACCTTTGAACTTAAGATAGTAGCTGGGGGGGGGACACAACCTTCAAGTGTGAATTCAAGCTGGGTGTGGGGTGCCAAAGATAGTTCCTAGAGAGTGTTACAAAAGGTCAAATTTTAAAAATAATACCTTCAGTGGGGTATTGAGGGCATTATTATTTCATTGAAGATAAATTTTTGTTCATTAAATGCTCCTAAATCCCTAGAAAACATTGCCTCATAAAAACATATTATAAGGAAAGAAATCTTTAATACAGACCCTTTTAATTGTAAT